GTGGACACCCAATGATCATCCAGAAGTATTGATGCCAACATGTTCTATGCAATTGATCCAAGTGATCATCTAGGCGAGATATCAGGATCCGGTACTTGATATTAATCTTGTTTTTGACCCTACTGTTAAATAAACAGCCACAACGGACCGTCTTTCTTAGGTACCATCAGGGCAGGGACAACGCACAAACTGGTAGTCTCTCCAACCAATCATCTTTCAATGACATCCTATTCTTGCCGCTGTAACTCTTTGTACTCTGCAGATCTCAATTTGTAGGTAGACTGATTTGGTAACACTAATCCTGGTATGAGATCTATGGCGTGTTTCATGTTCCTTAGTGGCGGCAATCTCTCAGGAAGACTGTTTTGCTCATTACATCTTAAAAGTCACGCATCAGTTGCTGCATAGGTGATGGTATCCCACTCTTCTACTCAATTTCTTCTAGTAGGACTAATGTCATTGCTACTGGAGCATCCCAAACTGACTACATGAAGGCGGCTCTCAAAACTAACGCCTCTATGTTTTCTACGTTTCTCGTATCCTTGACAGGTAATAGCACGATGTGTTTTCCATCCTTCTTAAATGAATAAGTATTCTTAAAGTCGGCATGTTTGGTCTGGCGATCGAATTGTCATAACCTCCCCAACAGAATATGACACTCCTTTATAGGAATCACGGCGCACCACACTTACTCTTGTAATTGATTCCCAATAAAAAATTCAACAAAAAATTGTTGATTCACACGTATCTTGTTTCCCCCTTTTAACTAGGTAAGGTAGTAGGATTGAGGATGCTTCGGTGTGGTCAATCCCAGTTTTTTCACCATCAACTTAGATATTACATTCTCACAGCTCCTACCATTGATAATCAAACTGCAAACCTTGCCCTTCAATGTACACTTGGTGGGAAAATATTGTCTCCGCCATGAACAATCTTTTGTTGGCTCCGTAGTTAGGACTCTCCGTAAACGAGCATCTCTTCCTCGTCCCCCTGAAGTTGAAGTTCCTACTCTAGATTCTCCTCTGCTTCCTCTTCCTCCACCTCCTTGACGACGTCATGCTCTATGAACGAAATAACTCGGTTCGTGGGATAGATGGAAATTATATGTCCATAGTCGTGGCATCTGAAACATCTCCTGGCAGGCACTGTACTGGGCGAGCTACCATTTTCCAACTTCTTTCCAATCAGATTTATCTTATTACTTCCCTGTCCCGTCTTTCCAACTCTTCTAGGTGTACCGTTGTCAATGACTATAGCTGCAGTGATTGCTTGAATGAGAACTGTTGTTTGACTGAGGGCTGTTGCATGCTCTGTTTCTATTTTCTTTCCACCTTCAAAGCTAAGTTCTGACATCTGCCAGTGACCAATATGGTCGTAGCTATACAACGTTGCTGATAGCGGGCTTCAGGCTCCCCAGATAACGGGCTATAGTATGCTCCCCTGTTTCAACCAACGCACACTTCATCTGCAACTAGTCATAGGTCTCTCTATTATAGGCGGCGGGGTCTCAAAAATATATTATAAAGGTAATAAGGTGGTAGGTATTTTCTCTGCACCTCCTTTTTCATCTTCTCCCATTTGGTAATCTTGTTAATGTCTTGTTTCTTTCTTTGCCTCTGCAGGTTTTCTCACCACAATGAGACACTCTTCTTTAATTTGATGGTTGTAAGCTTCACTCTTTTATCTTCCGACACTTCTTTGTAGTCGAATATTCTCTCAACTAATTGTAGTTTTTCGATGAAAACATTGGGATCCATACCTCCATCAAACTTCGGTAGGTCCACTTTGATGCCAAAATTCTTATGTTCTCCATATGTAGCCACTTCTCTCGGTCTCCTCTTATACTAAATTCCAAAGCATCGATGTATGCCTTCCTCGTCGCTAAAGTTATCCCTATGGAAGGGATTCAGATCCTCGTCTCTTTCTCCTCTTCTACTTTTCCGATCATGAGCAAGAATAATTTTCTTCTGGGCTCCATCATCAGTCTCCTTCAAACCTCTCCTGAAGCCAAAGGATCTCTTGTTGTATCTCGTCCCGTGTTCAATATGTATCTTCTTGGTGACATGGGTTGAAATAGAACTCGATCAACGACCATCAAATATATATCAATGATCTCTTAATAAAAGGAAGTTGATTAAGCCACATATGCACAACTTTGATGAAATTTTTTTAGCTTTGAAGAAGTTCAACTTAAAGCTCAACCCTCTAAATTTTATTTCTAGATCGAGCTCACGAAATTTGTTGGAGTACATACTCACACCCAAAAAAATGAAACCTAACCTTAGTATGATACCAGTCATACTAGACATACTACCTCCAATGAACATTAAGGAGATGTAAACTTTGACAAGATGAATCACAAGCTTCAACCAAATCACATCAAAGTTATAGGATCAATTCTCCTTATCCTTCAGAGCCATGAAGAGTTCTAGTCACTTAGTTTTAAATGAAGAATGAAATTGAGCATTTGGATGACTAAAATGCTTGTTATCTTCAACTCCTAGACTATTAAGTCCCAAACCATGGAAAAAAATTTCTCATCTACTTGGGATTGGGGAAGGAAGTAGTTAGCTCAAAACTTGTTCGTGAGTAGATAAAGAAGAAATTTCTCATTTATTACCTTAGCAAAGTCCCAAGAGGAGCTAAATAGAGATAAATGATAGCAAAGAAACTCACATTGTAAAGTAGGGAATCTATCTTCGCGAGCCTCTGCTGGAGCCGACGCCTCTCTCGTTGTATCTTGCTCCAGGTTCGATGCGTATCTTCTTGGTGGTATAATTAGGATTTGGGGATTGGAAGAGGTGGTTGAGAATATGATAGAAAATTTTTGGTTTTGGGGTTTTGGGAGGGGGGTTGCTAGGAACTGTATGATAGGACTAGGGTTAGGTTATATCTGATACCAAATAATACCGGGGTTAGCCAAAAGCCGATGGTAAAATAGATTTCATTACTCAACCAAAAATGATTATAATCAAGACTCAAAATAGGAAGACGAAAAACAAAACAAACACCAATATCCAGCTAGGGCCTGGTAGGAATATCCGTGGACAGTGGGGAGGAGGGATGGGGAAGGTGGTTGCTGGTTGGTGGAGTGTAGGATGGGTTTCAGTGGTGGCTAGAAGGGACAACAGGTCATATTTGCAACAAGTGGAACGGATTGGAGTTGCGATATTTGGTTGGCAGGGAAACAGGGAGGGCACATAAGTTTGTTTGGAGGAGGGCTTGCTGCAGCAACATGTAAGAGGTTTTGGGTTGGTGGCTAGAAACTGGGGAGTCGAGGGTGCAGTCCAGAAGTCAACGAGTAAGGGGAGGAGAATACGAAGGGAGTTTGTGGAGATAATCACCACCTCAGAGCACAATACAGCCGGAGCACCATTCTTTCTCGGATACAACCCAACATGGAGTTAGGTTAGATCTGATACCAAATAATACCCTGGTTAGCCCAAAAGCCAATAGGAAAGCAGATTTTATTACTCAACCAAAAAAGTCGAAACTCAAAATGAGAAAAGGAAAAACAATACAAACAACAATATCCGGCTAGGGCTGAGTAAGAATATTTGCGGACAACGAAGAGGAGGGATTGGGGTAGGTGGATGCTGGTTGGTGCGGTGGAGGATGGATTTTAATGGTGGCTAGAAGGGACAAATGGTCACATTTACAATAGGTGGCATGGAGTGGAGGAGTTGCAATATTGGGGGAGGACCATTAGGGGTGTAAACGAGCCGAACACTAGCGAGCCTAGATTCAACTCGTGTTCGACTCGTTTATATTTCAAGCTCAAAAAGTGTGTTCGTGTTTTTTTCTCGTTTTCTAGGCGAGCAGAACAAGAGCCGTTCACGAACAAAGAGTTATTTTGACAACCCTAATCGTGTGGCCATAAGATGTTAAGGATTGGGGCAAGATTTAAAACATCATTTGAATCTATTTTAATAATTTTTATTCTATTTTATTCATTAATACTTTTAATTGAATATAAATCTTTGTAGCCTTGTAGTCAATTAAATTTTTAAAACATACTACTCATCAAAAATATATATATAATTGATTAGTATTATTTTGAGCCAAAACGAGCCAAAAACAAACGAACAAATATTTGTTCGTGTTGTTCGTGTTCGACTCGTTAACTTAGCAAACAAGTCGAACACGAGCTTCTTAACGAGCCAAACAAGAGCTGTTCACTAACAATGAGCCGTTTTGACAACCCTAAGGACCATGAAGGGGTTGTGACGCAACAGGGAAACAGGGGCGGGCACACAAGTTTGGCTGCAGGAGGTTTTACGACAACAAAAGGTAAGTAAACTGGGGAGAGGAGGGTAACAGGCCGGAAGATAAGGAGTAAGGGGAGGGGGAATACAAAGGGAGTTTGTGGAGATAATTAAGTAGAATATAGTCGGAGCACCACCCTTCCTCGGATACAAGCCTAACATGGAGTACGCTGACGGTAGAAATCTGAAATTAGAAAGAAACTAAACCTTAAACAACAAAGCAATATATTTAAGGTAGAGATACGGGGAGGCAGCCCTCAGTAACCGGTTGAGCCGGTTCAACCCTAGTTCCCCGAATCAGCTCTGTTATGAATTTTGATATTTGAGCAAGAATTTGAAAAATGAATATATGAGGGCCGTTTTTTTATAAATAGTTGTTTTAGGGCTTATGTATGTAATTGCATCTTTTGTTCATTTTTGCAACATGCTATTTTTGACATGCGAAGAGCCTTTTATGTGTTTTGGTTTTTTTTATTTTAAAGGCATTTACATATATACCACACAACTCATATACTTACATATCTAAAACCTAAACTTTGATATATACATGAATACCGCTCATATCTTTAACATCACGTGAAAATTGACGCTATTAATAACTTTTTAAAAGTGAAATACACATTTTCATGTAATAGCAAACTTTGTTAGATTTGTAAATACATAGGAATTTTGTGGTATGTATGTAAAATTTCAATTATTTAATTAATATTAATAATATTATTATGATTTTGGCAGTGTTTGGCATGGGTGCCTCGAATGCAGGCAGTATGGTGGGAATGCAGGCTCAGCAGCAGCATGGCGCGCAGGGTGGATTTGGAAACATTTCTTCAAATTCACCGAACATGCAGCCATCCATGACTGGCCTTCCAAATAATCCTAACTTTCAGCAACAGAGGCAGCAAAACCCACAGTAAATGAAGATTTCTCCTGTAGAAAACAAAAAAATACAGGAGATTAGTTCCACCCATAAAGTTAAACATTGTGTTTACTAATTGGCATTTTGCTTAGGTACTTGAAATTATGCCTCAATTTGGGATATTTATTTATTTATTTATTATTTTCTTTTTGTATTTATTTTGAAGCTTTATTTGAATGATTCTTGAGAATAATGTTAAGCTTAAGCTTTATTTCTAATTATGCCGAGCTTGGATGGCCATTCTTATTTCTTCTTTCAGGCTGGCGAGCTTGGATGTTGCATCTGTAACTGATATTTGGTTGGCAATTTAAACCTTTGAGTTTGCAATTACGGTGTATGCTGCTGTTTTACTTTTTCAACTAGGGATGCAAGTGAACTGGGCATTCAATTAGTTAACTATTATGTTGCTTGATAAGTTCAAACTATTATAGATATTTGGTTGTTAAAATTAATGTTTGATTAATTTATCACTCCATTTATTTATGATGGTCAGTAATATCCTTTAAAATTTTTAAACAAGTTTGTTAAGAAGCTCAATTATGATTTGATATAAAGTTTGGTTAGGAATCTTTTATGTTCATGAATTTTGTATATCATTAGGATGCTTTACAATAATATTCTTATAAGTTGTAATGAACTTTGTTCATTCATTTGTTGAGTTTACAAACCAAGTGATCTTATCGGGAGACTTTTTAAAATCATTTTAAAAAAAAATAGGTCAATTTTGGTATATTAAAAGTGTTGTATAAGCTCAGTAAGATTTGTTTGTTAATATTTAGTAAGTTTGGCATGATAAAACTTGTTATGTTTTCACAATTTGGTCGTCTAAAATTTATTGATTATTGCATTGCTGAAAAGTGAGTGTCCATATCATAATACATCAAATGGTTCAGATCATTGAGAATTAGACGATTCAAAATTTATCAATCATTAAAAATCAATTTGGGTGAGCGGGAACAATAGATGAGGATTGAATGGTTAAGGTTGAATGAACAAGGTCAAATGTCTGAGGCCGAATGATCAAAGTCGAGTGAATAAGAATAAGCAAGCAGTCCCACAAGAGGTCAAGTCTTTAGAAATTAGCTTAGCAACTTGCCTTCACATGAACTAGCTTGAGGCCCGGTCTTTTCAATGTCAAAAACCATGGCAGCCAGGTGACCAAAGTTTGAGAGGCCTGCACCTAAGAATTTTGGTAGGATAGGACCCAAATACATCATTTCATGAAGGTCTAATCACTATAAATAGAGAATTAAATGTAATAGAAGATTTTTATGTCATTTTGAATATCATGGCTTTATTTTAATCTTTCTTCCCCTCATTTTCAAAATTTTCTCCTCCTCATCTTCAAAATTTTTTCTCTCGTTTACACTCTATTGCTTAGTTGTAATTCAGAGAAAAGTATGGGTTCAAAATTTATAAAATAGCTTAATTTTAATTCAAATGAAGAAAATATGAATTTAAACCAAGTGAGCTTTAGTTATATATAGACTTCACAACTTGAATCGAACAAATGCAACTTACTTTGCTTCATTATAGAATATACCTACATTTTGTGCACTTGCTTGGGGACTTCAAAAATTTATTGTTTTCAAATATTATATCCATATTTGTATCTTAAAAAAAAAAGAATTGTTAGTATCTTGTAATTCATCAATTTGAATACAGATTGAAATAATTTTTCCAACTTATATCAATATTTTTACTTCAAAAGACAGGAACACTGGTTTAGTGAATTAAACACTCAAAAAGCTTTTAAAAGAAGTTTTTTTTTTTTTTTTTTTTTTTTTTTTTTTTTTTTTTTTTTTTTTTTTTTTTTTTTTGCTTATGTGGTGTTGTGTTAGGGCTTCTCCTTCCTTTGGCATCTTCTTCTTACTTAGTGCCTTTTGGAAAACCCAAACCGTCAAGGTCTCTCCTCTTCTCTCTCTTTGAGGGGCTTCAGCTCTCAGCATATTGAAGTTTCAACCTTTTTTCTTTCCTCACTCCCCTATCCTTGATTCTCGCGCCCCCAACTCCAACATACACACAAAAATTGGAAATGCTTATTTTATTCACACTTGCATTCTCTATCTTTAATCTTGCGTATCTCCCTACTCGTAGAGACTATGGTTTTTTCTTAATTAGGAGATCAAAGAAGTATTAAAGCATTAGATCTTAGCTATGATAGGTTATGCTCTTGGTAAATGACTATTCTATAATACTTTATTGTAAACTAATATCAAGATCTCAAAACTCAAAGGTTTGGTCGAGTGTATCTTTCGTTTTTTTATGGTTTCCTTTTTTTCCAACTTTACTTGTTTGGAGGATCTTAATATGATATTGAAGGAAGGCCTTTGGTTTATAAGTGGAAAGCCTGTTATTTTTAAGCACCGGTCTCGTAAGTTTTAGCCTGTAAAGGAAGACTTTACGGAGGTACCCATATGGATTTATCTCCCTAACTTTCTATTATGATGTTAGTCTAAGAATAGAATTTCAACGATAGCAAGCACTATTGGAGTTTCTATAGCTATTGATCCCTTGACAACTAAAGGAACTTGACTCACCTTTGCTCGAATAACTGCCCAAATTAATACCTAATATGCTTTGCCAGATTCCATTATTATTAATGTTAAAAGGTAGGGTATTGTCCAAACTATTATTTATGAATGGAAGCCTCAACCTAGTTCTTCTTGCAATACCATTGCATATGAATCAAGATCTTGCTCAAAATCTCTTAGCTTCAAACAAAACTCTGTTATTCTCACTCTCAAAGGAAGAAGCTGCTCAACAAGTTTGGTCTTTAGAGGTTGTGGCTCCCACAGTCTACGTACAGCACCAATACATCCTTCCATGTCCAATCCTACCACCCCCTCCCCC